CTTCTCTAGATTAGCGAGTATTTTAAAATAATTAAGTCCTGTAGAACTGTCTCCATTTCTCCTATGTACCAATTTCAGGATTTCTTTTTCTTTCTTTATGTTATTCTAAAAATTTTATGTCTCTTAAGCTCCTTTTTCATACATAGCTCCTACAGTTAATCAGATGTTTCTACTTAGCCAGAAGATATATAATCTTGAAATTACAACTACTTAATCAAAAGATAATGTATTTGCATTATGTGGTTTTGGTAGCCTGCTATTTTTTTTAATTTTTAATTTTTTATTTTTTAAATTCATTTATTTATTAAGGATTTCTGCCTCTTCCCCGCCACCGCCTCCCATTTCCCTCCCCCTCCCCTGATCAAGTCCCCCTCTCTCATCTGCTCGAAGAGCAATCAGGGTTCCCTGACCTGTGGGAAGCCCAAGGACCGCCCACCTCTATCCAGGTCTAGTAAGGTGAGCATCCAAACTGCCTAGGCTCCCCCAAAGCCAGTATGTGCAGTAGGATCAAAAACCCACTGCGATTGTTCTTGAGTTCTCAGTATTCCTCATTGTCTGCTATGTTCAGCTAGTCTGGATTTATCCCATGCTTTTTCAGACCCAGGCTATCCTGAGTGAGGTAAGCCAGACCCAAAAAGAAGAACATGGGATGTACTCACACATATTTGGTTTCTAGCCATAAATAAAGGACATTGAGCTTATAATTCATGTTCCTAAAGAAGCTAAATAAGAAGGTGAATCCAAAGACAAACACATAGGCATCCTCCTGAATATTAACCTTCATCAGGCGATGAAAGGAGACAGAGACAGAGACCCACATTGGAGCACCGGACAGAAATCTCAAGGTCCAAATCAGGAGCAGAAGGAGAGGGAGCATGAGCAAGGAACTTAGGTAGCCTGCTATTTTTAAAGATATTTTTAGCTTTAATATTTAGCATTAAAGCAAATAGATTCGGAAGGGTACCTTCTTCACTGTTTTGTTCCTCCCATTGTTAGACCCGATGTCAGCAAAAGTACCATGACTCAGAACTGGAGAGGATGCTGCAAAATGCATGCAGTCTTGGGCGCATGTGTTTGTGCATGCCCGCGTGAGCGTGTGTGTGTGTGTGTGTGTGTGTGTGTGTGTGTGTGTGTGTTTAGGTTTGGCTATATTGCAAACAGTTCTTTTAGAAATTAGCATTAAGAAAACAGTTTTCACATTTGGTATCAGTATTTCTTGGGTAGGAGTTGGTTCTCTTTTGATATCTTAGAGTGTCATTTATGGAGATATAGCCAAAATATGACATCCCAACTTTCCAGTGTGGCATAACAAGATACCCCGGTAGAGAACACCAAAGGTGAAAGGTTGACTGATCCCGAAGCATTGAAGTTGAGGGCATAAATATTTACAAGGTTTAAGTAACCTTCATAAAAATTTTATCTATAGAGTTTAAGTATCTACTTCCAAGGAGAAAGACAGTGAACTGGTAACTCTGGGAATAATTTCAATCGACATATAAAATAATATTCTTACAGTTAAGAATTTTGGGGCTGTGTTTTTATACTATAAACTTCTCCAGAGCTTTTGCTTTCCTTAAATAGCAAATAGCTATGGTTAAATACTGAGAGAAAAAGTTCTCTACAGTCTTTCTTCTTCCTTGTTACTTAAAATGGATATAAGCGCTCTCACTGGTTGCTATAGAGATTTGCATGGGTATGGATCTTGGTTTATTGATACAAATTTAAAGTCAATTTTGTTGTATGTGTATTTCTGCTCTTGAGTAAGGTATGTGTGTGCAGCTCATTTAAAAATGTAATATATAATTAAGAAATATAACTTAATAGTCATCTATAATAGTCAAGCTTATAGTCATGTTAGTTAGGTTTTCTAGATGTATAGAGATATATTTCAGTTAGATAGATATTCTTCAAACCTTTCAAAGACTACAGGATATGGCATTAAAATGTTTTAAGAGCTTAGAACTTTTCATGACAGTGAGACACATGTGCTCCTGGCAGCACCAATCTACTTCAAGAGAAAGATGGACATCAAAAAGGCTCCTTATGGAGTTGGTTAGCCATTTGGACAAGAAACTGCTTTTTCCTGGACTGCTTGATGGTATGTTGGGTGAACTGGACATGCAGGACCCACAGAGAAATGACTGCTGAACTTGCCTAAAGGTGAGATGATCCTTTGGAGTTCCAGCTACCTGAAAGAGTCTGCTAGACATTCTGCAGAACACAGAAGAAATGTGGCTGACAAACTGCCAATAAAGGTGGAACTGCCTTTGAAATTTCCTGCTTCATGAAAAAGTCTGCTGGATACTATGGGCCTGTAGGCTGAAGATGGATGCCCCAATGGTACAGAAGAATTTTGGGTGACTGTCCAGCTACCAAGATGTCTCTGTCAATTCTAGAGTTTCAGAAGTTCCTTACAATGTACCTGCTGTTTACTTAGGTAATATTATATCCTTCTGGAGTCTTTGATGGAGTTGAAGACTAGATAGAAAGTAGATATAAGTATTGTAACTGTAATTCTTACTTGATACCTGTTTTCTTATATGTAATTCTACTATGTTAAAGATAAAGCCTTCCTTTTCATTTAAACAGAACAGGGGATGTGATGTGGTAGTCCCCTCTGTATTCTGTAAATACCATTAGTGAATAGAGAAACTGCCTTGGCCTGTTGATAGGGCAGAACTTAGTTAGGCAGGGGAAACTAAGCTGAATGCTGGGAGAAGGAAGGGCAGAGCTAGGAGAAGCCATGTAGCCCCGCTAGAGACAGGTGCCGGAAATTTGCTGGTAGGCCATGACCTCGTGGTAATGCACAGATTAATGGAGATGGGTTAAATTAAGATGTAAGAGTTAGCCAACAAGAAGCTAGAGTTAATGTGCCAAGCAATGATTTAAATAATATGGTTTCTGTGTGATTATTTTGGGTCTGAGCTGCTGAGCAGCCGGGGACAAGCAAGTGGCCTCTGAACAACAATTGGTGATGAAAATGAAGATTACCAGTGCCAGTCATTGTCAATTTTTCCTCAGAGTTTAGCAATGTTGGCTCAGTTTACAAATGGGCTTCTCAAACATGGAGAAGTAGCTTGATATCCCAGAGTGAGTAGCAGCCAAAACTCAGATTATTTTCCAACAGAATCTAGTCCTATTTCCCCTTTCTTTGTGCTGCCTAGAATTGGTAATTATCATCTTTTATGTCTGTACTTTGGATAACCGCATCACTTTTTCTGTTCTTTATGATAATGCTTGGCACTTTATCAAAAGATAGTTGTTAACCCACTGAACTTTCTTTAACCTGCGACATGAGGGGAAAAAAAAACAAAACCAAGAACCCACCCCTTGAAACTTGTAAGAATTAGTTTTTATTGTTGGCTGTAGGCTTTACAGAGCTCTTATTAGTCAACTAAATATACTTCAGTGAAAGTGATTTGCCTGTGAAAAGTCTTTATCACTTGTTACACATAAACTTATCACTGTAAGGCATGCTGTGTGTGGACTCGACCACATTCCATCTCCTGTGAAAATAGTTATGGTGTTATAGAAGACAAGCTTGAACGACTTAGTTAGCAGTATCATATATCCCTTAAGTCATACACCATATAGCTGTTTTTACCTTTCTTGAAGAACAAAAATAATTCATTAAAAAGGGTATTTTGTTGTTGTTACTTATACTTTACAAAGAAGCACACCAATGAAAATTCATGGGTATGATACTTATTAGATAATTTTATGTTAATATTGATAATATGTATTGTATAACAACTTATGAAGTAGTTTTAAGATTATAATGCAACCTTTTAAAAAGAAATATTTTATTTTTGAAAAAATATTTAAAAGAAATATTGCAAAGTTAGAAGAGAGGCTTTCCATATATCCTTCACCAAATTACCATACTTTTTTTTAAAGTTAACTAGGGAAAATTGGTGTTCAGGCTCACTGATGATCTATGTGCCCTGCAAAGATTTGCATATATTTAAAACATTCATGTCTAATGACTTAGCTCAAGGAGCTGTCATTTGTCTTCTTTTTAGTATCATGCATTGATTATTATAGCTTATAATAGCTCAATTGATTAGTCTCTTCTTCAGTCCTTCTGAAATCTGATAGTGTAGTTCTTGTCTCAGATTTCCTCACTCAAGAGGAATAAACAGATCTCGAATACATAGGCTTGCATTGAAAATCCAATATGGAAGACTTGTCTTGCATATTTATATTTTAGCCAGGGAAGATAATAACAAACATTATTTTCAAGGTGCATAAAATTATTAAATGCTTGTAGCTTTTGTATGACTGTGTTATTTGAAAGGTAGCATTCCTGTGATAACTTTATTTTCTCGGAATATCTGAAAGGATAATAAACACAGTCTATAAAATAGAACTTCATTTCTAATTCTGGACAAAACATGAACCAAATTCTGTTTGATCCCCCGAATGTCAACAAGTCCATTTTAATATTCCCTGATTTCCATATTTGCCAACTCCGCAGGACACAATATATACAGAAGTTATAGTGAACAATGAGATGTTGAAATAATTAAGTGTGAGCCCTGGTTACCTCTAGAGTAGGACTTACTATTTGTCTATTGTGATAGAATCAGAGCTCTGTATAAATTATATCAACATATGATTGATTTTTGCACTACAAATTTGACTTTGGAAAGGAAAGGCACCAACTATAATCTCCTTTTACAGCACAAAGTGTACCTATAGAAACCATCGCCATGAGAAAGTCCTGGGAAGTCCGTTCCCAGACATCATACCATTTGAAGTAAAGTTGCTTTGGATTTGAGTGTATGAGGTATTTGGGCCAGTGACCTTCTGCTTTCCCTGGGCTCTGATGGCTAGCCTTGCTATTTTTGTGCATTTTCTTGAAGTGAAACATTCAACCTTTTAAAATTGCATTTTTGTAACGAAGCCAAGAGGAGGAGTTCTTGCTTGGCTCTGCATCAGGACATGGCATTACTGACGGCGTCTCCCCTTCTCTCCACCCTCTCCCGTCATTTCCATAGATGCACATCGGGAATTCCTTCACAGGCCTGCGTCTGGATATGTGCCAGAGGAGATCTGGAAGAAAGCTGGTAAGAATTGTTTAGAAACACGAGTTTGGTGTTCTGGCAGCTGTGTGCAGTTGTTAGTGCTGTGATGTGGTGAATGACAAGAAAGGACTTCGCTGCGAACAGCAACAATAGCAAAAGCAAAGCAAAACAAAGCGAAAACCACAAAACAAAACAAACTGGAAAAAACCCTCATTAATATTCTTAAACCAGGCCTGATTAAAACATGAAATAGTTTTTATTTTCACAGCATCTGTTAGTGCCATTATAATTGAAAGGCTGGCAATATTTCCTTTATAAACCTCTCCCCCCTTTTGAAGCATCTGTAATGACTTCAGTGTGAAATTTTGGCATAGGAGGTCTTAGTTTGCATGCCGTTCTTCTTTGATGGGGAAAGAAATCGAGTGTTTTAGGAATTAAATTACATACATCTGCATTTTTTTCTCTGCATTCTTAAATGGACCAAATCTAGTGAACTTGGTAAGGAACTTCAGAGGAATTATTATTTTTGCTTACAGTCTTTCTCTGTTGTTTAATATTAAATCATCAGAGCTACGTTACTTTTTCAGTTGAGCAACCGAGTGGCTGGGCCTCTCCTTTCTGCATCTGCCTCTCGTTCTCTCCCATTAGCGTCGGTTGCTGTATATTCTGTGTTAAATTTGAAGCTTCCGGGGACGCCCTGACTTGGTATTGGGCTTAAAGTTCAGAGCTGGCAGACTCTCTGTAGAGCACCAGCTAAACCTGAAACCTGTTTAAAAAAAAAAAAAAAGAATCCAGAAGATAAAAGAGAAGTCTGGCTCATGAGCTGAGGAAGTTACAGGTCACAGGTGATGGCTGTGGCTTTGAGCTGCTTAAATTTCAGCGGGTAAGACAGCTTCTCTTGGTGGTACAAAACTGAGAAGGACCATGGCCAGTTCCAGCCACCCACCACAGGGGCGCAGAACTGGTGTGCTGAGTCTCAGAGAGTCTCTGTTGTTCTTATTCCTGTTTTTCTGCAGAAGGTTTCTGTTTAGGTTTTGACTGAATTCAGTTATTTGGAATCCTTTATCACCTGCTGAATATGTGATCACATGCACGTTAGCCACGTATTTTATCTAAGAGTGATAGCAACCTTCCCAAATCTGATAGAATTTTTAAGTTTCAAAGCTGAGGTGAAGAGCTAGGAGGCTCTCCCCAGGTCCTGTCTACAAAGCAGGTGAATTGCAAGTGCAGCTTTCCTTCTTCCTAGCTTGGACCCAGTTGTGCTAACGGTCTCAGTATTCTCCCAAATTGTTACTAACTGAAGTGACTGAAGTGCCATCCGACCCCAAGAAGTCGCTGCGTCTTGCCATTCTTTTTCTTTTCACGTTTCAAGCCCCCTTTCAGCGTCCAAGGCCTGGTATTCCAATTAGAGGTACAGAGAATTGTCATTATGGACAGGAAAGGATGAAAAATGTCTTTCTCTGTTCCCCGTAGTTACCTGTATTTAGGTTAAATTCTTGATAGTTCCTACAGAAAATTGACTGTGAGGGCTTGTGTAATCCAGATTTCTTCTGCGCTGCCTGCTCATTTTCATTGTGTCGCTGACAAGCAGGAGCAGATTTTCCCTCAATCCACCTCCCTTTCTAGAAAGCCAGCACGAATAGCAAGGTGTAGAGGAAGGCTGAGCCAGCAGTTGCAGGCCGATCCAGTAGTGCGTTTGCATTTTGCAGTTCATCAAAGTTGTGCTCTTTGTTCTCCTTCGGTTTTCTTACTTGATCTGTGGGAGTCTACTGATTCCATCATGGCTGTTTCTTCAGTCGCTTCTGTGTCTCCCCACCCAGTCTGCATGTAGTTTAGGTTCACGGGGCTGAGAAGTGGAGAAAAAGGTGTTTCCGTTGTTCCCGTGCAATGCAGAAGAGGGAGCGAACTTTGCAGGGAGAGTGGAGATTATTTCTCCATGTATCGTTCATCTCTACTCTGTCTGCATTCTAAGACATTGTTCCGTTGTGGTGCAGGTGCCCTTCCTCTTCTCATTTTGGTGCCACCCACCATGCCAGAACAGTGTGGACTACCTTTCTAGAGATGGGTGTTAAAACTTAAGGTGTGGATGGCAGATTTATTTAAACAGTTCCAGGAAGTGCTTGTAATATTTTCCTGGACAGACTTCTTCAAAAGCAGGTGTAGAGTTCCCAGTGCAGGTCAAGGGTTCAGAGTTGCCAGTGTGTGTCAAACTGTCCAGTATCCGAGAACACCAAAGGTAAAACGGGCCATCTACGCTCAGCTTCTTAGACTGTGGAAAGACTCTAAAATGTACCTCTGTCAGCAAAGGAACAAAAGCCAGACCCAGGCATAATAGTTCACACCTGTAATCCCAGTGATGGGAAAACTGTCACGGAGATGCAAGACGGAGCCACCCTATGCTACAGGATGAGACCCTGTCTCACAAGACCAAACCAAACAAAGAAACACACAACAACAGCAAAAGCCCTAAACCAATAAACAAACCTGCCTTCCTGTTTTTTAAGAGCAACTTGTAAGTGTGCCTTTGCCACAGAAGTGCTAAGTATTATTTTCATGGCCAAAGCTGACTTAAGCAGAGTTAGATAGCGCTCAAGCTACTGTGTGGTACTAGCAATGCATTGTCTCAACAGGACACTGTAGTTACAAAAGCAAATACTTTCAAATCTTTTCCAGTTTTGATGTCATTTTAGTTTGAAATGATTTTAAATTTTCATAAAATATTTCCAAAAAAAATGTAATCACAATTTCTTTCTGCTTTTATCCACTCCTCATTTTATGACATTTGTGTATATTGTCTTCATTCTCCCTCTCCCACTTTGCCTTTCCCTCTGGATACACACACACACATACACAGACGGGGGAGACCCTATGTAAATTCTGTATATTGCTCCAATGATAGCTTAACGACATTTAATTCATATTTATTTTTAAAAAATTTACAAATCCTAACAAACATTGAAGGCCACATCCACTTTCTCTAAAAGTCATATTTTTCAATGCAAGATAACAAAAGAACTCAAAAGTTACACTGGATCCTTATAAAACTGGAGGGGAAAAAAATCAAACATAAAAGTAGTTCCAAAATTGTGAGTGAATGTTTTTCTTCAGTATATTTCTTTTCAAAGGATCAAAGAATGCTTGCAGTTGGTAATAAATATTCAAGCACCTTGCAAATGTCCTACCAATTCTCTTTGCTGATCTGTACATGCCTGTGGGATTAGAATAGGAATGCATAATTTAAATATAAATTGCCTTATTTGCATATACAATTAGTCAAGCTACAGCTTTGATCCTAAGCAAAAATTATTGTCCTGTATTACAACTTAGATAGAATTTTAATTCACCTTGAATATTCAAACTAAATTAGACCCTGGCTGTATAGTTCGAAGGGCAGCACTTCCCCGGAGCCCTGAGTCAGTTATGATAGGCTAATCAAGGCAGCTTTTGCCTCTTGGTAAAGAAGGGGCCATGAGCTGTGTACAATGCTCTGATTTTATCCAGATTTCCAGGACTTACCTTGCAGGAGCTAACAGAGGATTAGCATGGCTTAGTTAATATTTTCTATCTGGATCTTTCTTTTCGAGTAGAGTGTATGAAACTTAGCCAGACAAGTAATTTAAGGAAATTCCTTTAGGAAGGATGGCACTGAGTGGCTGAGGCTGAAGAAGGCCTGTTAGTTAATGGCAGGAGGGGCCTTCTGATGGCCTGTAGGTCACGCACTGTAGAACCAACTGCAAGGCTTGAAGAACCCTGAGAGGACTTGCAGCTCCTACACTCCCAATCTACAGTAAAACATTTTTATTGGGAATGTATATTTTTAATTAAACAACATTTAATTAAGGTGCTTTTTAAGTGGGTGAAACAATTAAGTGCAAACACTTGAATGAAACATGTCATAATTAGTTTTAATAGAGTGTTAATTGGTAATAGGTTTGCCAAGTTAATAATTACTGCTTATTAAATTTTCAATTAATCATTGTCATTTTACGTTGAATAAAGATGAAAATTAGATAAACTAATTCAGGAGGAGGGTATTTTTACCTTGTTAATTTGAACAGTTAATATTTTAAAAGTGGGAAGTACTTGTTTTAGGTGTCAATCTTCTGCCTTACAGTGGTTGACTCTTTGCATCTTGAGTGCAGCCAAACAGATAATTGGACACCTTGTAGGTTTGCTGTCAGGCCCGGCTGTGTGGCTTGTGGTGTGACTCGGTTTTGTTTGTCCAATGCAACAGTTGGTTGTCCCAAACTACTGGGTATATTTGAAGTAGACAGAGAGCAGCCTAAGACTTAGAAATGACAAGGTTCTTTGTAAAATTCTGGATCATTTACTCTGTAGAAGCACATATCTGTATTATTCAAGCAAGGACAAGAAAAGGAAAACTGTGCCACCCTACCCTTTAGCCCAGGCTGGATCCTACTCTGTAGTCTAGGCTGGACTCTATCCTGTAGCCTAGGCTGGTCTTGAAGTCCTGAATATTGTCATTACAGGCATTCACCATGATGTCAGTCTAGAAAACTGGATCCTTGTGTATCTGGCTGATCTTTACAAGTTCCGTGTGGACATTCTTGCCCCTCTACAGGCTCTAGAATCACCTCTGGAAGCACTATGGTGTGAGAAAGTTAAGGAAAGGTGTATGCATTAAAAATATTGCCAAGAAGGCCATGCCAAAGAAGAATTCTCACTTTTGATTTCCTAAATGAGTTTAAGTGTTTGGATTGATCTTTAGACGACAGAACTGTCCCGGCTTGTGGACGAGAGCTAGGTCTGTTCTGTGAAATTCTGTTAAGAAGGGATGGCTGTCTCTAGTGCTGAGCTAACCCAGGGATGTTCTGTCCTTTGGTCTGGCCTTACATCACAGAGGAGGCAGTGAACGAGGTGAAGCGACAGGCAATGACGGAGCTGCAGAAGGCTGTGTCTGAGGCAGAGAGAAAAGCCCACGACATGATTACCACAGAGCGGGCCAAGATGGAACGTACGGTGGCTGAGGCCAAGCGGCAGGCAGCGGAGGACGCTCTGGCGGTCATCAACCAGCAGGAAGACTCCAGCGAGGTAAGGCCTTTCTGGGGCGCCCCTACCAAGGATTGGACAGATCACGGGGAAAATCTAGGCATTGATGGGCTGACCTAAGGCAGATGTTATCTTATTTACTCATTAACCAGTTGGAAGAAAAGTTCTCAGACCAAGGTGTTGTGATGTATTTGGTAAACAAAACACTGAGGAAGTTTTCTTTTGATCTGTGTGTTTGATGCGTGTGTAACTGTGGATGTGGATGTGTGTGTGCACACGTGCACACAGCACACACCATGGCAAATAAACTCCAGTCAGAAAATAACCTTAGCTGCTAGTCTCTTCCTGCTTCCTTGTTTTACGCAGGGTCTCTTTATTTGCATCTGCACAGATTTCAGTTTATGGACTTGTAAGGGGGAGTCTCCCACTCCATGCCCAATCTGCACAGTGAGGTGCTGTGATTATAAGCGTGTGCACTGTCCTGGACAGGGTTTACATGGGTTCTGGGGGTTCAAGCTCGGGTCCTTACTTGTGGGGAAAGTACTTTACTAACTGAGCTGTCTCCCCAGCTCCTCATGTGAAATACATATCTTCCCCAAAGTTGTACTTAAAATTACTTTAATAATGAATCCTAAAGCCCAATGCTAAAGTAATGTGTGCATGGTTTAAATATTTCTAAAAGATCTGAAGTATGATCTTTGTTTTCATGTGATCTATCATTAACCATTGTGCAGTCCTACCATGACATCGCTTTCTGTGTCATATTATTGAGTGTTATTCCAGTACAGTTATTTCTACACATCCACAGCCACACACATGCACTCACTCAGGGCCTAATGACCCAAGGAACTGGTAAGTAAACAGCTAAAATGTGGCAGAATGTTTTAAAACATATAGCCATAGAATCTCAACAGCATAGAATTGTTCCACGTTAATTAATATAGCACACAATCTTCAACTCCGAAATAACTCCAGATAAAAGGCTGCCATTAGCTCGCCTCACAAAACTGAGCTAGCGGAGGCACGGGCTGATAAGTCAATGCCCCACGACAATACGTGTCTATACTTTGGGAGGGAGGGTAAGGATTTAATTTGTAGCAGGATTTTCTACAGATGAAAGAACCTGCGGGAATCACTCAGTGCCCAGAGTTTTTATTTAATATATAGCAGATGAATAACAGGGGGACAAAAGGAATTGATTTCCAACATTTGGAAGTTTCTCAGGAAGAGAGGGGCAGAGGGAAGTTTATCTTCCTTTATAGGCTGGCTTTTCCATTGTTGTATTAAACTAGACAGAAATTCAGCTTTCCTGGCATCACGCCATTAAGAATAATAAGGACTTTGTTTTGTTTCTGTGGGTTTTTTTTTTTGAAAGTTTATGAATGTCTACTGAAGAGGGTTTGTGCAAGTTGGTGATGTCATGAGGAACACTTATCATCCTGTATGCATTTTTGTTTTCACGCAAGCATTTTAGGTCTGATGTGCCTTTTTAGAGTGTTTGTCGAGGGTTGCCTAGGAAGGAAATGAGTTCATATGCTTTCAGCCAGGCAGTTGCATGTGAGATTCCTTCAGTTTCTCTACATGTTGTGTCTTTCCTATATAACCATGTGGAAAAAAACATGATGGTGACAGTGGTCTTGGCATTATAAACCCAGTGTATTAAATGGACCTAGAAGTTCAGGTCTAGTCCTTCCCAGGATTCCTCCCAACAACCTAGAGGGCTCTGGTTTCCTCAGGCTAGGACATGCCCAGTCTGGTTCTCATGTTGATTGGCCCATTAAATAGGGAATCTGCCGGAAATGTGAGGTCCAGCCTATCTCACAACAGATTCCTTACAACTCATAATTCTCACCTATTTCTGATGCTTTCAATTTTCTTGAACATTAACCATTTGACTGCAAATAAGGTGCAAGTAACATTGAGTTTTAGACAATTTATGATGTTTTAAAAATAAAAATAAGAAGTCTGGTTATGGTAGAAGCTGGTTGAAAAAATATATATTATCATTAAGTTTAACACTTGTTGATTTTTTTAAAATCTTACAAATTAATAGGCCTCCTTTGACTCTGAAAGGAAGTAGCACACACGCATGAACACATGCACACCTTAACGCTCCCCACTTATTTATTTATTCTTTTGTTGTTTATTTGCTTTTGTTTTTGTTTTTTGAGACAGATTTTCTCTGTGTAACAACTCTGGCTGTCCTGGAACTAGCTCTTTTAGACCAGGCTGGCCTCGAACTCACAGAGATCCACGTGCCTCTGCCTCTGAAGTGCTGGGATTAAAGGTGTGCACCACCACCACTTGTCTTATTTATTTATTTTTATATTAAATTATTGAGCTTTTTTATGTATTAGGGATAGTGCTGGCCCTGAGAGTCCCACAATCTTCTTCTCATGTTGACTGCAATTCACCAAGAAAGCTAAGTAATTAAATTATGGTGAACCTCAAAGATGAAAGCTTCTGTTGTGGAAGGATAATCAGGTAGACTGACCGTTGTGGCTGCTGCTTTTTCCTTAGGCCATCGTAATGTCCCTGCAGGGAAGAAACAGCAAGGTGGGGGGGGTAGATTATAGAAGATGACATGGCTGGTGAGTTCTTAGAGGGGACACTCAGGCTGAGATGAGGCAAGAGATTCCTGGAAACTAAAAGGAGGGGCTGTCTCTGTTTGGGGTCAAGATGAGGAAGATGGTTGTAGTGGTGGTGGGGGTTGGGGCTGAGGGATAACCTTAGATAGGCTGGCTGAAACTCAGGAGATGAATTTTCACACGGGGTCCTCTTCATACATCAGAAGACCAGATATGAACCACATTTAAAACCTTGCTGAAGGACTGGGCAAGTAGCTCTTATGTATGGGGCACGGAGCCCTGAGTTTGATCTTTAGCAACTCATCAAACCCAAACTGATGATGCTTGCATTAATCTCAGCACTCTAGAATTAGAGGCAGGAAGTTCAAGGTCATCCTTCACCAAGTAGTAAGCTTGGAGCCAGCATGAGCTACAAGATGCTATGTTTGAAAAACAATAATAACAATGAGAAACAAGACAAAACAAAAATTTGTACTAGATTTGATCTATCCATGGTGTTCGGGGAAACAATAGAACAGGTAGCCTATGCTTGGGTATTCTGTGCTGTGCACATAAACAATACTAGTTAACACATTTTAAAAGCTCTAGCGAATTAGTAAGTCTAGCTGGATAGACAAGTCTTTACAGTGGAAATAAATAAGAAGAATAGAAGCTTATGAGGTTCACTTTGTCCAGTGTTAAAATTAGGATTCTCCACTGTTGAACAGGGTGTTAGTTGAGTACATGGATGCATAGTATGAAGCTGCCATGCTCAGGTACTTTAGAGCGTCCCACACTACTCTCAAATGTGCTTGTTAGGATAATAAATTACATTGCAACCAGACGTTAACACCATGCTCACCTGGCTGCATAATCAACTGTTCTTGTAACTAGAAGAACCTAAGAGTAGAACCCAGAAGTCTTTTTTTTAAACAAATGACAAAATAAGATATAAATCAAATAAAACAAAATCATGAGATCCGTGCTGGACAAGGCAACCCAGGAAGTCCACAGTCGGGGAGTATTGCCTGGGGAGGCAGTGGGAGCTCTGGCAGCAGGTTGGAGTCATTGGTTTGTGGCTGACTGTGGACACTAGATTGGGAAAAACAGGACAGTTATTTATGCCAGTCCCTGCTTTCAAACACCCCAAGGGAATAAAGCAAAGTTACAGTAGAAGAAACAGAAGCATCTTGGAAACCAAAATCAGCAGCGATTTCAGCAAGCGAGAGTCTGAGGAGGTAACCCTGCCAGACACTAAGGAGGCTCTCTCCCTGGAGCTCTCAATGCCTGTGGGCGAAGGCAATTAACGTGGAGGATGTGCAAGCTTTCAGATTCTAGTAGTGCAGAGGCACTGCATCCAGAGCAGGAACTAAACCCCCATCTTCATTGCAGCCAGTGCTAAGAGGTAGGGTGAACCCCTGCTGTGCACACAGACCCTCAGGCTCCGTGCTCATCACTGCCATGACTATGAACCACACTGCAGTTCCTGTATTTGCTCCAAGAGCTAAAGCCATTTGCCTGTGGCTTTAGTACTACTGGACAGTGGTACTGAAAATGAAACACAGGCTGCCCTGACTCTGAAGCCTGTGCCATTTGGGTTACCTACCATGATATCTTGTCTTCGCTGGCTCATGATCCAACCTGCTCCCACTGTAGGGAACAATACTCTCCTCTAACCAGTGGTGCCACAGTGGGACCTAAGAAAAGGTCTTACATGGGCAGAGGGGGGCATTTTGCAAAGAGTGTTTGACTGACAGTCCAAATGCCAGCTGGGGATTAGGGAGGTCTTACACCTTGGCTATGTAGTTTCTTCTCTTTGTAACTTGGAAGAAATCTTTTAATGCAAAAGTGAAAAAACTTTTAAGGCCTTAGGATCCTGGACTGCAAAATACCCCTGAGCATGGCTTTTAAAGGTCAAATGCAGTGTGGGGTCTAACATGTGATCTCCTTGTGGGTTCAGGTCAGCAGGTTGCTTGGTAAAGTTTTGTTTTTATAGAATCAGAAGAGGAGCCTTTGCTTTTGTGGATTGTAGTTAGAACGATTTTATTTCAGTGTCTTGAGCTCCAGTTACAGATAAGACCTAGTGAAAAAGACAGTCATTGGGCAGGAAGCCTTTGTCTCTCAGAAAAAGAGTTCTCAACAGTGAAGACTAGAAGTGTCTTTTGCTGCTAGGACAGTCAGATTATTCTCTGTATATCTAAATAACAAGAGAAAGGAACTAGCTCTCCTGCCCCAAGGGACAAAGGGACTTTCTGATAGAAAAAAAGTATAGGATCTTTGCTATAAAATTCTGGCATCCAGAATCTTCCATCTATCCTTGGTATATATCTGTATATAACAGTGTGTTTAATGTATTCTGCAAAGAGGAACTTTATATCCGGCCTTGATTCTTCACCTGTATCCCAGGGCAACTTGGCATGGTCAAAAGCAATTATTTTAGCTTATGGTTTCAGAGGGATAAGAGTCTATCATGGCGGGAGGCAAGGCTCGTGACCAGGAAGCTGAGATCTCACAGCCTCAATGGCAGGCATGAAGCAGAGGAAGTCAACTGGGAGTAGAGTAAGCTCCTCCCACTCCCCCACCAGTGCCATACCTCCTCAGCAAGACCACACCTCCTAAACCTTCCCACACAGCACCACCAATGGGGGCTGAAGGTTCAGATGCCCCAGGATATGGGAAATATCTCTCAGCCAAGCTACCACACATGCTTCCTCCATTTCCAGATGAGAGGTTCATGGTCAGAACTGCTGGTCAGGCATCAGCTGCCTAGGCATAGACGCAGACAGGAAATTGAGTACTGTTATCCAAGAGAAATGATAGACATGGCGTTTTAAGGTTTCTGATGGGGTTGGGAAGTGTCCACATGGGAGTTTTTCTTCTCTCTCTCTCTCTCTCTCTCTCTCTCTCTTTCTCTCTCTTTTCTCCTTTCTTTCTTCTTTTTTTTTACTCACGCATGTATTAAATTTTCCTATATACTCATTGGAATGCAGTGTGAAGGGCAATAAAATATGCAAGTTTTTAAAAATTTTAATCCTGAAAGATCATTCAGCTGCTCTTTTTTGCTCCTCTGAATGGGAAGAAAGGACTTTAGAGCTGGAGAGAAACTGCTCAGGGCCCTCAGTTCTTGGACCAGAACCAGGAAGGACTACGGCAAGAGGCCTCGGCTCTCAGCAGCTCCACTATCCAAAACATCTGTTTCTGCATTTGGCTCAATTCCATGGCTTTTTTTTATATTTGTAAAATTGTTCCCATCTTTGCAAACACTTTAAAAAATAAAGAAGTCCCCATTCTGTCTCCTTGTTCCCTCCCCGGCACATGCATTTGTAATTACCTGGTTTAGTCTGTGTGTTTAATCAGTTTAAATTGAGAATGTTGCGTACATCTGATTTCAATCTGAGGGAGCCGTTGAGCACTGGGCAGTTACCACCCTGGAACCTGCCAAAATGTGCCTCTGCCAAAACACGATAGGACTCACACCGGGGTATTTCCTAAAGACGCCACTTGACTCAGATTAGATGTTTAATTTCCTTAAAATGTTGTTTTGGATTTGGGTCTCTGTTCCCTAATTGGGATTTTCTGATGTAATTTAGGAATATCGCTTATTTGATGAGTGGGTTCCAGGACCCAGCTGGCAATCTCCTGAAAGCTAAACCCCACAGAAGTAAACTTCACTCCAAGCACAGAGCGTGGCCCCTCGAGCTTCGCAAGCTGGGCCGGGCCCACATTTATTGACAATTTCATGGAAAAATCATCCACGCACTGCAGCGAAGTTCAGCTTGGGAGAGGAAGGCTTCTTCTTGTGGCCATGGTCAGAGTTTGTGCCTGTTTTGAGATTTTCTTTTCTTTATGTGTTCTTTGGAGAATGGCTCTTTGAGATCCCATTAAAGTAGTCCACGAGTAGCCTCAGCCTCCTATGTGATGGAGTTAAGAGGAGTGACCTATCACACCTGGCTCCTGGAGACATTTCATCTTCATTTAATTGAACTAGAAAAAGAAGTTAAATTGTAGGTACTGACTGATCCTTGCAGATTTGCTTTACTAGCGATAGTCCCCTATCAAGTAAGTTAGTAGACTGAGATTATAGATTGTGATTTGTGATTTTTTTTTCCCCCTAGTACTGGAATTTCTGAAGGGGTAAGGATTTAAGACACAGAGCAGAACTTTTTCCAACGTGTGTATGTGTGTGTGTTTGTGTGAGTGTGTGTGTGTGTTGTAGATCAGAGAACAGCACTCAGGAGTGGGGTCTCATCTTCCACCACATTGAAGCAGAGTCCCTCTCATTTCTGGGGCTGTGGTGCATCCTCCTGGGTAGCCAGCACTTGAGCGTCTGGCCAGACCACAACATCTATCTGTTCACGTGTTCCTGGATGGAACTCACGTCATCAGACTTACACAGAGCACACTTTTATCCACTGAGCCATCTCCTTAGTCTATTCTGTAGGCTTGGAACCAGAGTTCTTGAAATTCCTAGCCTCTGACCCTTGAGAGTCTCCAGGATCCCCTTGTTAGCAGTTAATGTAATTCCTGAAAATCCCTATATATTCTGCACAGTGGAATAAAGCTTTGCTTGTCAGGGAAATAGTCTGACATTTCAGCTTTTTTTTACATTCCAGTGTTTTTCATAGGCTCATGAGTCATCTCTAGACATACCCCCAACATAATGAGCCCCATAAATACAGAGAACACACGGAGGAACCATGCAGTATCTCAGTAATTACTTTAAAATGTGATTTAATTGCGATGTAATCACAACTGTCAACTGGTTGTATTATTAGATTATTGCTAAAAATTTGTTTTGCAGCAGGGTATTGGTGGCCCATGCCTTTATTAACCCAGCACTCAAGAGGCAGAGACAGGCAGATCTCTGTGAGTTCAAGGGCAGCCTAGTGTACAAGAGCTAGTTCCAGGACAGGTTACAGAGAAACCCTATATCAGAACAAAAAAAAAAGTTTTGCCAGAAACTAATCAAAACCATTGACAAAAGCTGAGGATGTAGCTGAGTGCGAGAATACTTGGTTAGTGTGTGGAAGACCCTGGTTTCATTCCGGGCACTGCAAAACAGAACCAGGGCATAGGGAACTCAGTGGTGTAATACTATGGCCACCTAACAGAGCACTTCACAGTGGAATCAGTCTTCCCCAGGAGCTAGAAACATGTTTTACTCATGAGATGAACATTTCGGTATGGCTTTCTCAGGTGCTGTCCCTCCTGCTGGAAGCATCTCTGAGAGAATTGTCACAGTTGGTCCCCACCCCTTTGACCTTGCTTCCATTAGCTTGACCCCACACGGGTGGCCTTCAGTCTCTCGGACGTCTGTGCTCTGTCTGATTCATGAGGTGTTTGTCTTAGCATGTAAATTTCAGAGGTCACCTCATTTCTGTGTTTTAAAGCTGGCAGCTGGTTTTTCCTCCTCCCGATGCACAGTTCCCTCTAACTTCCCTGAGTCACAGGGGACCTCTGCCAGCTGGGAAATGCTGTATCCAAGTAGAATTGTTATTCACCCAGCCTTAGGATTTCTTACTTTTCAAGACTAAATTAGGCATCAACTCATGTGTTCATTTCACAAGTTTTTGTTTTTTGTTTTGTTTCTCTTTTTTTCTTTTTTCTTTTTTCTTTTTTTGAGCATCTCATCCCTGTCAGGCTAAGAAGCATTTATCATAGGTTGGTTTCAGAGATGGTTCCCTTCCAATTACTGAGGTAAAGAGTGGTATTCTAAGATTAACCTTGTGTTTGGTTGTTAGGGTTACTGAATGGATTCTGTGGAAAGAGCTAACTCTCCAGAGAGCCCACTTCTGCTCTGCCATATCCCGTCCAGGCTGGGATGGAACAGGGAACAGAATCCTTCATCTCATGTTCAATAAGTCCAGTATTGTGGTCCTCTAGTTGCTTTGTGGTTCCTGTTAGTATCCAGGAGGAGAAAGCCTTTCCCCAGAGTACTGGATTTGTACCTAGCCATTCCAGAATTGGTGCGAGAAGAACAAAAGTTGGGAAGTGGAGGTTAGAATTAGTATAGCATGGATAATTTACTACATATGGAAATAGCCAAATCCAGGAAGAAGGCGTTTTTCTGGTAAACAATGGGTCCTCAGCCATTTTTGTCAATGCCATAGCCATTGCTGACAGAAAATTGAGACAACTGAGTCTGAATTGAAAAAATTCAGTACCTCTGTAGGGGATATTGGAAATGTTCCCCTAGCCTGGAAGTGCAGGTTAACATGCGACCACCTGGGTGACCAGGCAGCACACGTGAAGAAGAGCTAGGAGAGTTTGACGTGTAGTCTATGTGCTAGCCGTGAAGACTGAGTCAGGAGCGTGACGGGGTCTCTCCTGATAGAATGGAGAGCTAGCAGTAACGTGAACAAAACGATGAGTGGCCATCAGGTAAAGCCCTGGTAGGAACCAGCTAGCCCATCCAGAGCAGCTGCAGGGGCTGGGACATCAGCCAAAGGAATCAGATATCCCATCCAGAACAGCCCACAGCGGCCAGCGGTAGGGCTTTTTGACCCAGTGCCTTCCCGTGAATGTGGCTTGCCTGGAGCTGTGGCCCCTTGTTGAGGAACAGAGCACTGGCCAACACTGCTGCCCACTCCTCCTCCTCTCAGCTTCAAGCTTCAGGATGCCAGAGTACAGGCCAGGAGAAGGAAGCAGGCTGGAGAGGAAAGAGAGGGTTGCGCTGTGGTGCAATTGGAAGTTCAGCCCAGAGGAGGTTACACCAGCGCTGAAGCCTTCAGAATTGTCCATTTTGTGTCTGTAGTTCTTGAAGCTGTAGGAACAGCTCCCAGGTTTACTAGATTTTCCCACCCATGAAACGTTCACCTGGTGTCTCTCCTCCTTCTTTAGAGTTGCTGGAACTGTGGCCGGAAAGCAAGCGAGACCTGCAGTGGCTGTAACACCGCCCGGTACTGTGGCTCCTTTTGCCAGCATAAAGACTGGGAGAAGCACCACCACATCTGTGGACAGACCCTGCAGGCCCCACAGCAGGGAGACACACCTGCAGTCAGCTCCTCAGTCACACCCAGCAGTGGGGCTGGGAGCCCAATGGACACACCACCAGCAGCCACGCCCAGGTCGACCACCCCGGGAACACCCTCCACCATAGAGACGACGCCTCGCTAGACCTAAGCTCGGACTGTCAGAGGAAAGACACCGCAACCAACACGAAAGCAATTCCTCATCCTCAGATGCTCAAAGCCGTTTTTCTGTTTGTTTGTTTATAGATGAACTATCTATCTTATTTCAGTACTTTCAACAAGAGAGAACCTAACTGTATCTTTTGAGGTGGTAGTAAAACACAGAGGGCCAGTAACGGGTCGTAATGACTTACTGTGGATAACAAAGATATCTTTTTAGAGAACTGAAAAAAGGAAAAAATATAACGTGAAATGCTAGATTTGACCTCCTCCCTGTTATTTCCAAGTAGCTGGGATTTTAAACTAGATGACCTCATTAACCAATGCTTTACCAAGCAGCAAACCAAGAGATTGTTCATTGCTGTTGAAAGCAAAAATGCTAATATTAAAAGTCACAGTGTTCTTTATATATAATAATGGAAAGAAAAAAAAAAGAGGCGATCCCTCAAGGGCACGAGCGTTGGATACAGCACTAGACATTTTAACAAGAAGATGAATGGCGTCTGTGGGTTGCTAACTGAACTTTGAAGACCCGCTACAAAACGCGCAGATGTGCAGCAGATTGGAAGGAGACACAGATGTTCGTTTTTTTTTTTTCCTGTTTCTGAAGCGAAATAATAATATCCAGGTCAACAGAATGAAAAATGAAAGATGATTTCCAGTGGGATGTATGACCACAGCAGCAAGAAAAAAAAATGTCATAATACAAAGGCTCCTTTACACACACACGCACACACACACACACACACACACACACACTCTTAAGAGACAGCCTGCAGTTAATTAGCATTCTGGCAGCTTCCAGCTCAGCCAGCTGCCCTAAATAACCCTTCAACATTTCTTCACTTTTGCAAGGTTCCACAGAGTAAGACATTGGGTCTATTCCAGCTCATTCATTTTATATTGAAAACTAGTTTTTTTTAAAAAAAAAAGATGGTGGCTCCAGCTCCAGCCCCCTTTCCAAAATTTTTCAACCCCACCCTGTTTGGTTTTTAATTAAAATCTAATAGTTCTCTTGGTGTTAAACACTTCTGTCCTGTGAGGTTCCCAATGGTGTTCTTCTTGTAAATGTGTTGGCCAAATGTGAGGATGCGTTGTAGTTTATCCATATGCCCACATTTAGTCTCCTTATTCCTAGTTGGTGAGAAACCTGTATCTTTCTATGCTGCTTTTATATCTGTATGTATTAGTGATATTTCTCTAGTAGTTAAAAAAAAAAAGAAAAGGAAAAAAAAAAACCTTTTTTGGTTGTCCTCAAGAAAAGAAAAGAAAAGAAGAAGCTATCTTTTGGAGCTGCTAACTCACTCTCTTATAGGGTTTTTTTCCGGAAACCAGCATGCTTCATGGAATGCTAGCATATGGGTGTTGTGTAAGAGGGGTGTACATAAATGTATTCTGCACTGTCACGATGACTCCCTGGGCATGCTCTTTTTTTTTTTCAAACAAAATTTTTAAATATGCTAGAGCCATTTTACCAGTTTTAGCTGTAGCATAGAGTAGTAGTGGAATTTTTCTTTCCTTTTTTTCTTTATTTTTTATGAAAAAAATTATTAGGGACTTTTTTAAAAAAATAAAATAACAAGATATCCTACTTTTTAAAAAAAAAGGACAGTGCATGCATATTGCTGTAAGGTTGTTTAAGTATTTCTAATTTTACAAAAAAAAAATGAAATCATCAGAGCTCCAAATGCTGAGGTGTAGACGGACAGCTTTAACCCTGCTGGGTGCCAGGTTATACAGTATCGGGAAGTCAGCCAAAGACTGATCTGATGGACCAAAACCAGGACTTCTGAAAAGCACCAGAAATACTTTCCAAATGATCAGCAGGTTAGCCATGTTCAGTGTGAATCCATTAACCCTTCGTTGTCCAGGGTCCAGACCAGAACTACGTGTTAGTTTTGAAACCCAATAGCCCAGGATGTGGTTGTGTGCTTTAAGAGTCGGCAGAGCTGCAGGCTGTGTAGACAACCAAAGTTGACAAGGCTGGGAAGACACCACTCCACATACACACACACCAAGCATTTCTTTACAAATCGAGTACAATCCATTCGCTTGTGGGAGGGGGGTTGATGTAGCCCTTGGATACAGTTTTCAGTGGCTTTTAAGTTATCTGCATAAGAGGTGATCCTCATGGGTTTGCTTTATGTCTCGCCAATTTAAGATTTTCTTATAACATTTCCCCTGTACTTTCATATACCAGTCGGTTTTAATTCTGTTCAGGTGGTGTTGTGTTCTTTTTTGTTTTGAATGGCCTTTTAGTTCAGGAAGTTCTGATGAGCAAATCAATGCATCTATCTCTCTGCATGTTGGAAGTCCATCTGCCAGCACACCTGCCAAAGTGAAGTGAGAAGCACACAGGAGGCTCTGAACGGGTTCTGTCTTACCATGGTGCTCCCAGAATCCTTGGACCTCACTCTGCTTTCTAGTCTGCTTGTGACACTGGACAGTCCTTTCTTAGAGCTATTCTATGTTCTAGGCTACGAAGGGTTAAAGAATCCCACAAATGAGGTATGTCATACCCACACGTCTTGAGCTTGAGAAGCTGTGATGTATGTGGGACAGCACTGTTATTCTTAACACTAGTGTGTAAAATAAGGATTAGTACAGTACGTCTCATTCCTTTTTAATTCAGGGCACCCTGAGTGAAAACAAAACAAAAAAAAAATCCCTAACTCTGAGCTCTATCTCTAATTCCTCTTCCTCCTTCCCCTCCTCCTCTTCCTCTCCTCCTGTTTTGCTACATTCTCCTCAGTGGCAAAAACTTTCACTCTACCTCTGACAGCATGAATATTGCACCGGTAGCTAACAGAAACTGGTCTAGTCAAACCAAATGGGCACAAGAGAACCAGGATACCAAAAGCTAAGCTCATACAGCTGCAAACCATATCACTTCTTGGTAACAATGCAGACCTCATAAACCTAAAAAAAAAAAGAGAAAGAAAAGAAGACTTTTGTTCCTTTCCTTTCTTGCTTGTCACTTATATTCAGGCTATGTGAGAGTATTAATTTGTAGGTATTACACATTACAAAAAGTTACCTTCATTGGATAGAATTGAATGGTGGTCGCTGATAGGAATAGGGCGTCCTCTATCTCTGATCTCTCTTTTTTCTCTTTCTCTTTTTCTCTGTCATGAGACTGTGTGTGACAGGGCCACCTGTCTTTTTAATTTGTTTCTTAATTTCTTTTTTTTTTAATGTGTAGGTGCATGTCTTGGGGATTTAAAAATTTCAAGGCTGGTTTACTTATGCAAAGCATGCCTATGTCTGGAATACTTAGGGAAAGAAAGCGACTCCATGTTGTCCGAATTCCTCAAGGGACAGAAAAAAAAATTGGAGACTGTTGAAATGCAGATTTGAAGTAATTTTATTTTAATTATTTTGGGTTCTGCGACATTATTGTGAAAAATTAAAGTTGTTGTGCAATACTTAATTCAGACATGTACCACAAGTTAACGGTAGACTAACACTGGGGGCGGGGCTAGGCATCATGCTTTTGTCGGCACACTCTTGAGCTTTGACGTCTACTATGTCTCAACTGTGGTTTCTTGTTTATCTTTTTTATTTTTTCCTTAGTTGGACTGTAATGTATGGTCTGTCAACCTGTGAATCTTTAAAGTATGATTCAGGTATTGTTGTATTCTTTACTGTGTAATAAAAATGCTTAAAAAAAAGTCTGTATTCTGTCTCCCTTATCTTCACAGTGTGCCAAAGCTAAAGCTCAGGGACCCTAGCCCGGGAAGTCAATCCTTCATGGAGCATGCCTAGAGTCTTTTCAGCTACAGCGTATGTTTCTAACATGAGTGGTTCATCCATGCATGATGAGAGAATGTTTGTGAGGTCAAAGCAGTCACGTCTAGAAGGATATTCAGGTCCTCCATTGGAAAGGATAGCTTAGTCTGGGTCGTCTTCTTCAGAAAGGTCCATTTCCCATCTTCTGAGTCTCTGGCTCTCAGCAGGTTGCAGCTATGCACAGATTCAGGGCGCATCCACTGAGGCAGACCTATTCATCTGTTGCCAGCATGTTCACACTTGTTTCTGTGCATTTGTCATGCATGGTACGGAGTGTCTAACTTGTTTCTGAAACCCATGTTATCCTTTTAACTATATATATATTAATATACATATTAATATATATATTCATTCTCATGCATTGGTTATAAAGTAGCTTAGAATGTAGAGAACCAATCAGTCTTCTACACTAGGAACCCAATGGATTTTCATGTAGTTTTCACAACACATTTTTTTTTTTAAGGACTGTATATACTATATTCTAGCAGGATTTCCCATTTACTTGGAAGATTCCCACTATGGGCTAAAAACTAGTTTAAAGGAATTAAGTGAACTGTATGTGTAAGGACTGAGTCTGGATAGCTGTCACATAGATGCTTGTGAGTGGGAGGGTGGCTGAGGACCTTCTGTTCATTTCCTTTGTATGCCAACTAGGTCCCCATCTCTGTCCTGAGACCTGGCTTCTCCAGCTGATCTTGAGAAACAGCTCATTTGACAGGGCAGTGGGAGAACATGTAAAACATGGATGACTTTCATACCCCTATAACATGAACAGGCTGACTATTTTGTAGTTAAATTTTTTTTCTTAGTATACCAAACCAGCCTGGCTCAATTGCCTTTCCTTGTTTGTACAAATATTTTCTTTTTCTCTTCCCAGTGGAGCAGAGCAGAAACCAGAAGGTATGGAGACTAGAGAGTGCTGAGAATCCTTGAAAAGCCCCTTTATAAACAGCCCGTGACAACAGGCGCTGCGACGTGTGTGCAACAGGCAATGCTGCACAAGTGGGAAATAGCTGAGCTTAGAGGAAGGATGGGAACAAAGTCCATCAGCTTCTGGGGGTGAGCACCACTTTCTAAATGATGTTATTGATATGTTCGATAATATTAAAACTCTGTTTGCCATGAAAAGAACACTAAGCTATTTCCCCAGAATGGGAGGGGGAAGAAATGATCAAAGAGGTGCTTTTCTGTATGGCTGTTTATATCTTTATCCCAAGGTGAATAAATAAAGTTGTACTTGCCTAAGCTTGTCCCTGGTCAGTCTATTCTCAACCACACTAGAGAAACTGGATCAGGCAAAAGCAGGAAATATCTTTTCCATAAAACCTCTCCATCTACACAGACAGGAAGATAGATCCAAAGTTGCTTCTCCTTTGCTTCTGGAATTTTCTGATTTACATAAGCTTTTGTTTAAAACACTTGCAAATCCACAGATGGGAAATCTATGGAGGGCTCTTAAGGTCACTATGCTTTACCTACAAGCATGACAGTTGAGTAGGGGGAGCTTCCAGTGGCTATGAGACGGGATGCCCCCTCTTTGTTCCCGACGCTAACTGTGTAGGGCTGGAGTTCTACCCTGCACTGGCAAGAAAGAATGAGTTGTCACGCTCTAAGTCACTAACAAACTCGATTTCTGTGCCTCGGTGAAAAGTAGGAAGATGAGAGCCACGTTTCCCCATAGGGATGTGGGACAGCAGGAGAAACCACCGAGCTGCATAAATCAACAGCAGTTGGAGCCCTTTTCAGTACCTCATACAAGGTCAGGCACCCAATTATCACTCAATAAATATTCATTGTAAATACCTCCGCTGCTGGCATAAGGTGGGGCCATTTTCGCAGAAATAAGCCAGTTGGATATAGGAACAGGAAGCATGAGGGCAGTGATTTAATCACCCCAGAAAGCGACTACAAGAGGAAGGTTAAGCTCTGACTATGGCAAGTAGAGGTATGACCATTGTTGACATACAGAGTCTATAAACACCAACGTGGGAGTGTCTACCACGTGGTTGCACGTATTAGTGACAAACAGATACTGATTGTCACAGCTCTGCGTTCATTGATTCATGTAAGGTTTCACTAGTTAGGCATTAGAATTACTTTGAGATTCAGGTGCATGTAGTCCAGACTAAGAACAGTAGCCTAGGTCAGCCGTCTCCATTTTGATCTGCCATCTAGGGCTGTTTAGCTTTGAAATCTCGATGTTCTGTTTTATCTTTACACTGCCTTATTCACCCTGAGTCCCTGTACTCTCTTTAAATCTCCCATCTCCCCTCTCATATCCACTCTACAAAACACAAATCTCTTGATATTTTCCCTTACTTCAGTATTTTCCCCATCGGGCCATGCCTGTCTTCTTACTAAATTTTGTAGATGGAGGTTTCTCTCCCGCCTAGTCCCACAGCCTTTCAGTCCCAAAGAAACACACAGAGGCTTATATTAATTATAAACTGTTTTGCCTATTAGTTCAGGATTATTACTAACTATCTCTGATAACTTAAATTAGCCCATAATTCTTATCTATGTATAGCCATGTGGCAGTTACCTTACTCAGTGAGGCATTCTTACCTTGCTTCCTCTGAGTCTGTCTGGTGACTGCAGCTCTGCCTTCCTCTTCCCAGAATTATCCTCATCTGGTTGCCCTGCCTGTACTTCCTGCCTGGCTACTGGCCAGTCAGTGTTTTATTAAACATTCAATACAAATGACAAATCTTTACAATTTACAAGAGCTTTATCACACAGCATTTCTTGGATGTTCTTGTATGAACCATCTTGAATGTGAGAGAAAGGTGTACCACCCCCGTGATTATGTGTTGAAGGTTGAGATGGCAGCATATATACAACAATTGGGAGCCACCTTTTTTGTGGTGACTCTTGCCTCAATCCTAGCCATGGTGAGTTCATATATTCCAGAGTAGGAGCACGAGGATTAGAAAAGTTAGGTAGGAGGAACAGAGATGAGAAAGAAACACAGAGACATAGGATAGTAATGGGAGGACCACTCAGTCTCTCCTGCATACTGAATTCTGAGTTTGCACACACTTTTTACACACTTTTATACAAAAGGGGGAAGAAGGCTAAAGACTGCTTTAATGTGATACAATGAACAACCAGAACAGTTACTTGCTGCAGCACTTGAAACACCAAGCAACTATATCTGGAATTAAGCATTCTGTTGTGTAGGCAGTGAACCCACGCTAGACCAAGTATCCTGAAGGCAGTTGCTCCCAAGGTCAAACCTCCTATTTCAAAAGAAGGAGCAGAAGTGTGCTTGAATTCTCTGACCTTTAGTCAGGGTGGAGCAGATCTACCTCTATGGGCCATATTAATGTCCAAAACACCAAGTAACCAGACCCTAGGTTGGGGTGGGTAGCCACAGTGGTCAACAACTTTGAGCGAGTAAAATCAACTCAAACTCGCTGACCTTCAGACAAGGTGGAATAGGCTCGCACTTTTGGTCCTCCCCACAAACTGTGTTACTATCATGATGGTACAAGGAACAGTTGAGCATATATTTCCCTCCATACAGAGTTGTTTTCAAATTTTATGGGGAGACGATGCTATCTCTTTGTACTCCGTGCTTTTCAACATAGTCTGAAGCTTTCCTACCATTCAAACGATTCCTTGAGAGATCACCACAGTTGCCTCTTGACTTTCTGGACATGGGAAGAAAAAAGGCCTATTTTTATTTTCTTTCTTTGAAAGCTAACAACAACAAAAACACTGTGTGTATATTTCTGAGCTTTTCTAGCATGTATGAAGCCCTGGATTTAATCCTAAGCATCAGGAAAAAATCCAAACAGTAACAAAACCCTAACTAAACAGGTACATTATATAATATCCTCCTATAGGTTATGTGTGTGTGTGTATGTATATATATATATATATATATATATATATATATATATATCTTTATTTAAAAAGTAGAAGAAAGTATTTTTAATGTTTTTACCGTAAATAATAAATGTTTGAGATAAATGGGCTTAACCTGATTTGAAAATTGTGTGATGCATGCATGTGTCAAAATATTTCATATTAATTATACTATTAATATGCACAATTTTGTATTTATGTTTTCAATTCAAAAGATATACTTAACTAAAAATCAATAAAGTCAAACAAAACAAGCAATCTTTCAACAGCAAGGATCATTTCAGTATTAGGGAACAGTTTATTATTGCTGAATACCTTCTCTGAGGAGCTCCTTGAAGATTGTCTGGCTGTTGAGAGAGGTAAATCAGACTCTTCTCATAGATGTTTATGGATTAGAATAGCCTCTGTGTCTCCAAGGTTTCTGTTCTGATGTTAGAGAATAAGAAACAAGTGTTACATAGCAGTTTACTTCAAAATGAAAACTTTTCATGTTGGGGGGACTTCAAGACACGGGGTTTTATTAAGGAGGAAAAAGAGGATGTTCTAAGCAGTAGTTCCCAGCCTGTAGGTCGTGACCCCTTCAGATATCCTGCCTACTGGAGATGTACATGATCATTCGTAGCAGCACAATCACAGTTGGGAAGTGGCAGTGAAATACTTGGGAGTCATCATCAAAGGAGGAACTGTGTGAAGTGTCATAGCATTAGGAAGTTGGAGAACCACCGTTCTAAAGGAAAGTAAAATATTCCATCCTGGGAAGCACCTTAAGCTCAGGAAGGAAACAACTGGAAGGCTTCAGGAAGCTCCTGTAACTGAGCAGATTCCATAGGTCCCTCCCTCCCCAGGTTATATAAGCAGAAGGACTGCAGAGACACTTAGAAAGCAGAGCCGCCTAGTAGCAGCAACGCTAGCTCAGCTGCCCGAAAGAAACATTGAAGAAGCAGAGAAAATGTGAACTTCCTAGACTAAACAGTGACAAGCCAGGTGGCCTAGAAGAATCAGAGACTAGCATAAGGGAGGCAATTGGACAACTGGGACACTCCACCTTACTGCGCTACCTGTAAACTCTATATCATGTTCAGGGTTTCATCTTTCGTGACCTGTCATCCATGCAGAGGTGAACTTTGGTGATTCATCTTAGTCACATCTCGTCCTGTAAGTCATCCCTCATTCATATAAACTCATTGGTTCACTAAGTTGACCCTGGTGATATCCTCTGGTCCGTTGTTGGTTCCCTATCTGGGATGAATAGACATTTGTTATGTCTGACTGGGAACCGTAATTAGGTAATCCAGTAACTGTTGATAAATGAAAAAGGAAATAGAGCATGATAAGGAACTAAGTAACCAAAGGCTTGAGAGTGGCAATGATTTAACCTGGGGGGCCCACTGCAGACCATTCCAAGGAAGTGACGTCTAGAAAGAAACCTGGAGGGTATAGAGCAAGACAGTGGACCCTCTGAGGAAAGGAATCTGCTTTCTATATAGAGGAAACTAGCATCAGGCCTTTAGAGAGTAAAACAGCCTGAAAGGCTTGAGGACCTATTGATAGTGTATTTCAGAAAAATGACCATTTGTATGGGGCCCAGCGAGGCAGGCTATTGGTTCTGCTCATAGGACATCAAGACATTTTTGTATGGGGCGGAGTGAGGCAGGCTGTAGAGATAAGCAGCTTCGTTTATGAACCACCGACGGTGACATCATACCCTTGTTTATACTTATGGGTATTTGGAACCTAAAATGATCTGACTGAGGATGTGGGACATGTAAGTACGGAGCAGAGGGCAGTCAAGCTTTGCACGGCCGTTTGATGAGTCTCTGGCTCATCGACTGCAGCCCGTATGTGCTTCAGGGAAGGCTGGTAGGAGGAACAACAAGAGAATGAGGAAAACAAGATACACAGAAAGGGGCTGAGAAAAGAGACCTTCCTGTCGGAGGCACTCGGAAGAGAACACAGATGACTGAGCGTCCCGGCATGCCAGGGGAACACAGCCCTGG